CAATTTTTTTTGCCAGTCTTGGGGTTTGAACTCAGGGTTTGGGTCCTGTCCTTGAGCTTCTTTCTTGCTCAAGACTAGCACTCTACCACGTGAGCCACAGCACCACTTCTGGCTTCTTCTGTTTATGTAGTACTAAGGAATCAAACCCAGGGCTTCATGCAAGCACTCTACCACTACGCCACACTCCCAACCCCTATCTTTCAATTTTTAATCTGTGTCAAAAATCCAGCATGGTGGGGCCTACCTGTAATATTATCAGCACTCAGAAGAAATGTGAGTTCCAAGCATCTGGGGCTACATAATAGGGGATGAAGGGAGGAAGACATAGGCAGGAAGAGTGGGAAAGGCAAGGAAAGGGGAGGGATTTGTAAAAAATCTCAATAGACACTTCTTAAAAGACATGCATATACCCAATAAGTACTCTTATCTGAAATACCTGGAGCTAGAAGTGTTTCCACTTTTTATTTTTGAGATTCTACCCATCTGAATATATATAATGAGATATCTTGGGGATGGTCTCAAGTCTAAACAGAAATCATTTATCCTTCATAACATTTTATAAAGTAGACCTTTGGTACCCACAGGTATATGGTACCAAAGAAACATAACTGAAGAAAAACCACAAATGGTCAGGATATAGTGTCTGCTACTGTACTATGGATGCTTGATTTATTTTTTCCCATAATGCTGTCCAACTTCCACTAAAGACATGCTGCCTTTCAACAAATGATCTAGATTTCAATCCCAGTTTCACTGCATATAATCTTGGATTTAATTAAGTTCACATAAGTGATGAAAACAGTTATGAGATTGTGGCAGATAGACTTGGTTTTAAGTTAGTCTTCCTAGCCAGGCACCAGTGGCTCAGGCCTGTAATCCTAGCTACTAAAGGGACTGAGATCTAATTATTGCAATTCAAAGCTAGCTAGGGCAGGAAAGTTCGTAAGACTCTAATCTCCAATAAACCACTCAGAAAACCTGAAGTGGTGCTATGGCTCAATGGTAGAGTGCTATCCTTGAGCTGAAGAGCTGAGGGATGGTACTCAGGCCCAGAGTTCAAGCTCCATGACCAAAAAAAAAATTAGTCTTCTTAAGTTTCCCCTCTCACCTCTAATCAAATATAAATTTCATCTGTTCTATGAAAGAAACACATTAGTAAAAAGGAATTTTTTCCTTGGTTTTAAAAGTCTTTTTCTTGCTTTTCCATGGTTTCTGAAGTTTAAGGATCCTAAATTCCAGGCCAGCCTGAAATAGCATGTACCTGTCTAGATAATAGGTAAGTAGGAAGGCAAGTAGGCAGGCACAAACAGAAACACAAACACAAATATACACACACAAGCAAACAGATGGGTGTCACCCATGAGGTGACACTCTCAGCACTCTGGAAGATGAGACATAGGGGTTATGAGTTTGAGGCTAGAGTGGGTTGCATAAGACCCTATTTCAAAAAAAATAGCACAGAAATAAAAGAACAAAGGGTGAACAAATGGAACAGTGGTACTCACTAGACACAATGTTGAATATTAACTATACAACTTATGGGTGGGGATGGGCAGGAAAAACAAAGAGTGAGGGAGTGATACTGTCCAAAAAGAAATACAGTGGCTGGGAAGGTGGCTCAGTGGTAGAGCGCTTGCCTTGCATGCCTGAGGCCCTAGGTTCGATTCCTCAGCACCACATAAGCAAAAAGAAAAAAGCTGGAAGTGGCGCTGTGGCTCAAGTGGTAGAGCGCTAGCCTTGAGCTGAAGAGCTGAGGGACAGCGCCCAAGCCCAAAGTTCAGGCCCCACGTCCGGACCCTCCCCAAAAAAAAGGAATGGGAGGAGGAAAATGGGGGAAAGCGAAAGAAGGGGTGCACTGCCTGACTTATGAAATGGTAACCCTAATAATAACACCCTAAATATAAAATTGCATTTCAATTTTTTTTTACCATAGCACTACTTAATATTACAGTATCGCTCATGCTTGTAATCATAGCTACTCAGGAAGCTGAGATCTGAAGATCATGGTCTGAAGCAAGCCAGGGCAGGAAAGTCTGTGAGACTTATCTCCAGCTGACTACCAGAGAACTGGAATTGACACTGTGGCTCAAAGTGGTAGAATGCTGGCCTTGAGCCAAAGAGCTCAAGGACAGCGCCCAGTCCCTGAGTTCAAGCCGCATGACCAAAAAAAAAGTGGTAACTAACCTGCTCAGTTCTAATATTTACTACAAAAGCCTGCATTAGACACACTTCGAAGTGCTGGTGATGTAGTTCAGAGGTAGAGCATGTACCTAACATACCTGGTTTGTTCACCAGCACTGACACATTTATAACACACACCCAAAAGACAGCGTCAGCAGAATGGGTGAAAATGTTGAAAGGGGTAATATTGATTAAGATATATTGTATTCATAAACTCCTTTGTTAAATAGAAAGTCTTTTACACAACTATTTAAAGATATTAAAAAATTAATTTAAGGGCTGGGAAGGTGGCTCAGTGGTAGAGCGCTTGCCTTGCATGCCTGAGGCCCTGGGTTCGATTCCTCAGCACCACATAAGCAAAAAGAAAAAAACTGGAAGTGGCGCTGTGGCTCAAGTGGTAGAGCACTAGCCTTGAGCTGAAGAGCTGAGGGACAGAGCCCAGGCCCAGAGTTCGGTCCCAACGACCAGACCCCCCAAAAAAAAATTAATTTAAAAAACGTCTTTGGCAATATTAAGTGAAAAATGAAGCTGAATATTAAACATTATAGTGATTTTTGTACCTGTAATCCCAGCATTTGGGAGGCTCAGGCAGAAGAATCTAAATTTGTGGCCAGCATAGGCCACATGGTAAGACCTAGTAGTTTAAAAAAAATAAAAAAGAAGAAGAAAGCCTACTTTGGAATCTACTATCATATATCCAGGCTCATTATAACTTCACAGGTTCAGGATTTTTTCCTCATTTATTCATTTTAATCTGGCCATTCAAAATATGTTAGGCATAAAAACAGACATGAAGAAAACAAAGTCCTTGGGTGGGGAAGGTGGCTCAGTGGTAGAGTGCTTGCCTTGCATACATGAGGCCCTTGGTTCCATTCCTCAGCACCACATAAAAAAGCATTGTGGCATTGTGGCTCAAGTGGTAGAGTGCTATTCTTGAGCTGAAGAACTAGGGGGACAGCGCCCAGGCCCAGAGTTCAGGCACCACTACTCAGCCAAAAAAAAAAAGAAGTCCTTGTTCAAGTCTTTTTATTCTATGGATCTTAATTTTTTTTTTTTT